GAAAGCTGTTTACGTTCCACCTTTACTGGCAACTCTAGTTGATCTGAAGAACCGTATTACTGCTATCAGTGCTATGGTGCACTCAGTAAATGAAGATACCGTATGCTTTCTTGTGTGTGTGAAAAGTTTGGCTACTATTTAGATGTTGACCGTGCAGCACAAGGACATATTGAGCATTTATAAATATATATAAAACACTTTGAATTTCTCTCTTTCCATTGGTGTACCGTATAAATTATTCATTTTGAATCTGTACTTGAACAAATAGAAATGTATTAAATTGGACCATCATTTAGAATAACTCTGCATAAAAAAATATCATGAACTACAATTGGTGCTAAAGGTAACTACCCATTTCTTGATGCAGAATTTCAGATAACCCATGAAATTTTTGAAGATTTTGATCAATTGTAACTGACAACTAAGAAAGAGGTCATAATTCATAACATATGGACCCAGAGTTCAGGCTTTGCCTCAATGTTGGGTGCCCACTATGCAGATTGCAGGGTTTGATAATTGTGTTGCCAAGGTACTTCATAAACAAATATATTTACCATATATTTGTTTAGCTGATGACATCACTTATCCCTTTTTAAGCCTAATGTGTTGCTAGCATTATTGAGAAATTGTTACCAGAACTACATACACCTTGAAGATTTCTTGTAAAAAATACATGAAAATAGGCATTAAAAAAAATTGTTGGCGAAATCTTCAAGACATGAATTTTGATGCTGTTGTGTTGTCAAAGATCTTTAGGTATCCACCCACTATCTGCACCCCAGTCCCCAGTAATAGGTGCTTCAGTAGAATACCTAGACAATAATGGAGGATATGTTGTGTTTCATTTAAATTTTGTTACCATATATTCCAGTTTATATGGGTAGTATCTATTATTTTTTAAAAGTATGGGTATTACATTTTTTAGCTTGTTTACTAGAAAAAATTAAATATACCTATAGCTCCAAATAAAAATTGGAAACAAACTGCTACAGCTGTGTTAACTTTTATAAATAATTATATAGATGACAATATAATAATTTAAAGTGTTTGATAATTTTTAAATGGACCATTGAATGTTTGAGCACTTGAAACACATATTTAAATCTTTGCCAAAAAAATTGCTACTTACTTGGTCTCACTGGCAGAAATTGTAATATTGCATTGGGTCCTGAAACATTATATTTATAGGTACCGTAAAATGGGGTAACTTAGACCGGCGGGGTAACTTAGACCACTTTTAGTTTTTTCAACAAAAACCCCCACAACTCAAAAACTATTTGACATAGAAAAATTTTGTCAATGGGCATTAAAGGCCTAATACTGAGGCTACATAACACAATAGAAAGATTTAAAAAGTTTGCATATCTAATAGGTTAAAAAATTAAAAATGTGACCCATGGAAAAAAGCTATTATTTAAAGCCTGTCGAAGTACCCTCTCCAATTTTTTTATTTTTTGGTTAAATAACTCCAGGTTTTGATGCATTGTAGTAGAACTCTTCTAGTTACATATGCAAATGACAAATTTTAGGAAAGTGTCATAGTTTGCAAATGGGGGGCGCCGCCCCCAAATGGGGTAACTTAGACCACCTAATATCAGCCCTGATGGGGTAACATAGACTGGCTTGGAAGTTAATATAAAATTACCATATATAACATATTTTATGTTTGACAGCCTATTTATGTTTTTTCTTCACGTTTCAGACTCTACAGAGTCTTATATATGGTAATTTTAACTTAATATCCAAGCCAGTCAATATTACCCCATCAGGGCTGCCATTAGGTAGTCACATTTCCCTCATTATGGGGCGGCGCCCCCCATTTGCAAACTATGACACTTTGCTCAAGTTTGTCATTTGCATATGTAACTAGAAGAGTTCTACTACAATGCACCAAAACCTGGAGTTATTTGGAGTTATTTTACCAAAAAAAAATAATTGATTTTACCACCCGGTCTAAGTTACCCCAAGAGCTGGGGTAACAAAGACCACCACTTTTTTTGAAATTACATAAAGACTATGAGAGGCAGGAGCCAGCAATTTATGGTGAGTGAAGCTAGAGTATAGACCTGTATTTTGCATGTTTCAATTCAAGTTTAATTTAGCTAGTAAAAAAATGGCATCATTTATAAAAAAAAAGTGGTCTAAGTTACCATATTTTATGGTATATACCATAAAACGGGGTAATAAGGGATGGGCGGGGTGAATAGGGTTGCATGTCCCACATTTCGTAAAAATGTTGTAGCAGCTAAACTATTCAAAATATTGCAAAACTAAAAATAGTGGTGTAAACTTCAACATTTTTACTATGTATTATGTATAAAACTAGTTAAGAAACCATACATTTACCATCTCTAAAAAATGGCTGAAAAATAATGCGAAAAGTGTGATTTTGGAAAAATACCTCTACTAAGGTCTGGAGCAAAAAAAAATATTTGCCATATTAAAAAATTTTACTTACGTAAAAGTTGCACAGAGGTGTTGGCTTTAAAACGCAATTGATGAAATTTGCCTATCTCGTAAAAAAATGGCAGCCATTTCCATGCGACGGGATAATAAGGGACATTCCCCGATTCCCTGGGGTATTAAATGACGCCCCTTAAAATGCATTTACAGTTTAACCTCAGTTAGCAAAGGCTCCAGTTCAGAAAAATATTGATTAACAACAAAGAATTTTGATTATACATTTACTTTGCAGTTTGCTCAACAAAAAAAATTTCACATTTCCCAAAATTAATGCATCATTGGTCATCACAAAATTGTGCACAGAATGTCATATATAGAATTGTGCACTGGGCATCATAGACTGAAAAGTAATTAACCTAAACTATGTTTTATTTCTCCAAAACATATGATGGTTGTTTCTAAAAAATTCCTCTCTGTTTCAGGTATGTTTTTTACAATATTTTTTATAGTGAATTCACTTAACCAGTTAACCCAATTAAAATGGTGTGAAATTACAAGCCATCCTGCAAGCTTACAGATGCAGAAGAAATGCTTTATTGCTGCTGATATGAGGCTTGCAGTGGACAAGGTTGTTGTAAATGCTCAATGGCATGTTTATGAATATGGTAATATCATGTCAATAATACGGTAATGAATGAATATGGTGATATCATATCAATAAAGGGTAAACAAGTAAAAAACAAAGAAAATGTCATTTATTCTATATCTACATCATCTACAATGAAAGAAGACTTCAGAGTACTGTTAGTAATGGATGAGTACACTCTGCATGCTTCAAAAACATTTTAAAATTGAGTTTTATTCCAAGTGTCCCGAATTACCCCATTCCCTTGGGTAATTCGTGACAGTTTTATTTTGCGTCTGGCACCTCACAAATAGCATATGTAATTTTTTGAAGATGCTATTTGATAGCCCTTGCAAAGAGCTATAAAATGTACTTGAACTTAATTATGAAATGCTACTACATGGTAAGAAGTTATTAACATCAAAAAACGTTCAAAGCCATCCCTTATTACTCTGTTTGATGGTAGTACATATCTGTGCAAGTATTAAAATCACTTGTTTGCTTAAATCGCAAGTTAACTAGGAATTTAAAAGCAAAAACAATACCACAAAAATTCACCAAATCTTTATAAGAGAAAACGTTTCGGAGTCCAGCTCCATTGTCAGTTCACAAAATTCTGTTCAGAAGTTCAGATCTAGAAACACAAATACAATCAATTAGTAGAGTAAAAGGCACTGTTAGGTTTTAAAACAGAATAAATAAATAAGACGTGAAATTAACGCTAGTAAACAGCCTATCTATTTACTATTTCAAGAGGAACGGAGCTAAAAGCGGCATTTAGACTAGGCTTCTGCTTGAATATATATAGGGATTCTAAAATTCGCAGCTTTCCTACTCCGGAAAGCTGCGAAGACTTCATTGGACATAAATTTTTTAGCGAAATGCTAAGTGTACAGTGTAATTCCCAAGTTTCTGAGGTCTTATGTCTTATTTATTTATTCTCCATTTTAAAACCTAACAGTGCCTTTTACTCTACTAATTGATTGTATTTGTGTTTCTAGATCTGAACTTCTTCTGAACTTAATTTTGTGAACTGACGATGGAGCTGGACTCCGAAACGTTTTCTCTTATAAAGATATGGTGAATTTTTGTGGTATTGTTTTTGCTTTTAAATTCCTAGATATCTGTGCAATACTTGGGGAAATGTTCTGCATCTCTGAGACCTTTCCTTATCACTAAAGAAATCTATTGTGATGGACAATCAGAGTCTGGTTGATTAAAAACCAGTATTTCTCAAATGCAAAATTGTGGTTTTGGGTGTTTGAATTCATTCCTGTAATTTTTCAACAAACTTGATGGCAGAAAGAATCAATGTTTTTGATTAACTTTTATTAAAGCATTTTTAATAACTATTATCAAAGCATTTCTAAAGATGCATTTAGGGAATGATACAATACTGATACAGTAACATTGCAAGTCATTCACATGAAAAAATAACATTGTATGTTTATATTGTATATCTCAATTAAATTATTTTTATGTGTGAAGCAAAAGAAGTGAAAGGCAAGTAAAAATTTGATTGCCTGTTTAATAGATGCAATCAATGTAATTTTGAAGCAGGTTCAATGCTTGGCTTCAAAGTATTTGATTTTGGGTTTTCAAATATATACGGTATGTGGATTATTTGTGTCTGTATGTGATTTTTTATTTTCATTTCACATTTGCACATTAGTCAAGTTGCAGACTAAGTCCTTCACATAGTAGGAGTTGTAATCTAACTGTCTTGGTTTGTATGTTAGCTCTTTTGTTATTTATTGGTCTTTTTAGCACATATTCTCATTTATGAAAAAAATGCACTATTGTCTCGCCATGTCCGTCCGTCTGTCTGTCCGTCTGTGACTTCATGTTTTTGTCAACAAGAAAATGTGCTCTCTGTCACTCACTGCAGTGAGTACTGGGTTATATTTTATAATATGTATACTATTATTTTTATGACAGAAATTTAACATCTAATTTCATCTTTCTGACAGTTATTTTTGTAGTGGATTCAAGAGCATTAATGGCAGTTATTTTATGACAAACTCCATTTATTTTATTCAACAATGTCAGAAAGCCCTTTGCACACCAACAACTCTGTGTCTCCCCCGTGGAAAGATGGAGATTGTGAAGATTATCACAGCCTTAAGTCCCCAGGCCTTGAGCCTAAATCCCTTCAAGATGATGGCCACAATGAATCCCTTGCTGATCCTGCAATCAAATCTGTCCAGGATGAGGCTCTTAGTCCTCCCATGCCACTGCTGGACACAAACAAAGTTGACACTATAGAGGAATTCTCCAAAGATAAGTCAGAGGATGGATGTCCTGCTGATGGTGAACAGGAATGCTGTGAGGATGACCAAAATTTGCCAATGGCATCAGATGATGCTGATGCCAGCAGCATACTTACCGATGACCCTGATCAGCATTACATGGAAGACTTTCATGGCAACAGTATGTCGGAAGGAGAAGATAATTCTGTTACCAGCCATGAGTGCATGAGCTCAAGCAACAGCTACCATCCTCCTGTGATGAACTCTGATGGTATGGCAAGTGTGGACAATGGACCTGGCCAGTTTTTAGATTGCAATAGACATTTATACAATTCCTTTGATGCCAACCTGCCAGTTGAGGAGGATGACATTCCTGTAAGCTCCTGTATGTCTACCCCTGTGGGACAGTGTCATGGCGGTCTCAATAATATGCCCAATTCAGAGCCAGGAGCTACAAATAGTTCTCATCTGGTTGAGGTGAGTTCTCTGAGAATTTGTGAGCAGTCCTCAAGTGATGAAGCTGTTGATTTTAGTTCAGCTTTCAAGTCAAACAAAATAACAAAGCTAAATAACTCAAATGGATTTGAGTCTTCTCCCAATTTAACCACAAGTCTATTGAAGGCTGTGAATGCTTCAATTGAAAATGAGGCAACTGAGAAGATTACCTCATCTTTAACTGATACCAGATCAACATCCTTTGCTCAATCAATCATACAAGATACTAAATGCCTCAGTGAATGCAACAAACTTATGGCTTTAGATTCTTCTGACTGCACCAAGGATCAAAACAATGGATCTGAGAAATCTTCTAATGATGCAACTCGAGTTCCTGTTCGATGTTCAAATCCAAAAGCCATGGTTCGTTCCAAAATTTCTCGGAAACCAAGCCGAGTGAGTCAGCGACTACTGAGTAAGAGAATATCCAAGTCTCAGGAAAATTCATTGCTTGAGAGCCCTCTGTGTCCTTCACAAAGCTTGCAGAACTTTGAGGATCTCGCTGAAAGCATAGCTACCCAGGATACATCGCTCAGTGCCCCAGTTATGTCTCCTGTGTCATTTTCTTTGCCAGCAATTTTATCCTCATCTAATGATGAGCTAGATAATAGTGACAATGTGCCTAAAGTTCTTCCAGCGGCCCAGGAATGTGTGGCAGATAATATACTCGCAACAATGCCAAGTGCAGCTGATGTTGAACATCCTGCTGATGCTGTGCTTAAGGAAACTGCTACTTCCGTAATGCAAGTCATTGAGAAAGATCAGAATTCCTGCAAATTTAACAGCAATAGGGAGGAAAATACAGATGATGATATAGATGGCACTGGTGCTAATATTGAGTCAAGTGGTCATGAAGGGAAGACCAAGACTAATTCAATTCAATTGCCACCAAAAAATGTTCAAACAGAGATATTTGAATGTCAGGAAGAAGCAATGGGGTCTTGCAGTCAAGGTAGAACAGATACCTTGCTTTCCTTGATAAAAGCCAATAACTTGCATTCATCTGAAAATTTTAATTCACTTGATGCAGGTGGGAGTGAAATTAGTGATCTTGTTTGCAAGTTGAAGAATATTGAACAAAGCAATGCATCGTGTAATGGCACAAATAGCTCAAAAAATATCAGTGACGAGGATCTTAGTTCAAAAAAGGGCTACACTAATTTGTTAAAAAAGCCAAAGAATGAGGAAAGAATTACTAATAATGACTCTGATAATGATTCTACAGCGGATGAACTACCTGATATTGATGCTGGTAACTGCTTGAAAAAAATGAAAAGAACTGAGCTTGCCAGTGAAGCTCCAATGATTGAAAACCTAGAGGAACTTCCAGATGTAGATTGCATGCAATCTCCATCACAATCTGATCAAAAGGAAAGTCAAACTTCCAAGGTATCTGATGATCAAGTTGATAATACATCTCCTGTCATGAAGCCAGAAAAGATATCCAAGACTGATCCTCCAGCATTTCCTTTGCGCAAGAAAAGATTATGTAAGCCATGTGATGAGTACTCAGTGACCTTGCCATCAAAGTCAGATGGCAAGACTTTAATTTTTACCAGGAAACCCACCTTCAGTTTGGCAGGCTCATCAAGAGATACAGCAGAAGAGACTTCAGCTCGGTATTATCAGAATTACTTGCGTTGCAAAAGACGCATTGCTGACTATGAGCGTAAGTTACGTGAGCAGTTCACCGACACTGACAGCGATGACAGCATTGAGCACTACAAGAGGGAAGCTGACCGTAGACGTTGGATGGATAAAAAGGCCATTCTCTCTGAGAGGATGAAGAATCTTGTGGCACTCAATGGAGGGCCTTTTGATGTTGACTTGGCTCTCAAAAATACTGATGATTCTTGTGATGATCTTCCTAGTCTGTATCCCCCTTCTTCATGTGCTGCAGTTGACACCATGAATGACTTGATGGATGAGGCATTGAATTCCTCCAAGACCGGTAGTGATGATGACATCATTGTGGAAGATAAAAGCTCATTTCGTCGTCGGGTGAAGCACACCCTGGGTTTCAAGAGACGTCCTAAGATGTGGCAGAAGAAGAGGAAGTGTGATGACACTGCAGATGTTGTTGATCTAACCAATGAGATTGACAGTAATGATGACGGTGATGTTGAAGTATTGCAGCATGACAAACCTGTTGTGGTGAGTGCAGTTTCTTCTAATAAATCCAGCATCTTATTGTGCTGCTCTTGTATATTGATTTGCAGGGAAGAGAATTTGTGAGTAGAACACTAAGACAGTATTATTCAATTTACATTTCTTAAGATATATATGCAAGTATAGTTAAAACATTTAGTGTAACATCCAGTGTTGAGTATTGTTGCATGACAGCAGCATATTCTTTGCTGAAAATATTCCTAGATTGCCTGCCTGTTCAGAAATTTTGATAATAGCTTGGAAACTATTTCCTGATATTTTTCAGTTTCATTTTTTTGTGTAGTCTCATTTTTTGGTACCTGAAGACATGAAACAAACTATTTGTTAGCCATTCATGATCATTTCTAGTTTAATTTTTGTTCATTTCATATCCTATTTTTCAGTACCTAAAGACAGAAAGCCGCCGCAAGAAGCGTCGTTCTTCATTGCGCCTGACAGAGAACAACAGCACCACAGCAGCTGCAGCTGCACAGACCATCGATCTTGTAGCCCCTGAGGCTGCCATCCAGCCCCAACCCATTGATTTCAATGACCCCAACCTGCTCTTTGGCACTCTTCTTGAACAACCTGAAAGATTTGTGGTTCCCAAACTTGATGAGAAGCAAGACTCGCCTGATTCTACCAACATCAAGGCCACAAGTGGGCCTGATTTATTAGCAGCCTCAGGACCGTTGAATAAATTATCAGGGAATTCTGATGAGGGGCATTTGTGCAGTGGATCTGGCTCTTCTAATGCTCCAAACAAAGTTGATCCTTTAATACCCAGTCATTTGTATGCTGGGCCTTCTGCTAGCAGCTTTTCATCTAATTCAACTCGAGACCCCCATAGACTTGATGATAAAAGTCCTGTGGCAATAGAGAAAATTTGGGAGATGTTGAATATTCCTGATGAAGATATGCAGACTGTTCGATTGCATCATCAGGCTTCTAGCAGTGGCTCTCTCCCTGTACCAGACTCTGTGTGTCTTCCTAATTGTGAGTGATATGCTCTTGCTCCTTTATACAAGAGTATAAACTTGTCTGTCATTCACTTGTTAGATTACTGAACTCGTTACTGCTTTTCAGCCTAGAATTCTATACAAGGTTTTTTATTGGTGACTTTCTGGTATTTAGTATAGTATTGTCTTGGTTGCATATATACCCAAAGCAATTAATTAAGTTATATGAATATTTGTTTCAGATGAGAATATTCGGAATAGGAATACTTATTTCAATTAATGTTTATTTTTTCAGATGGTCGCTCCGCCTCTCCACCCTCTCCCTACCGCACTGCTCCTCCTCCTGGCTGCTGCCCTGACAATGACAGCTTGCATGACTCAGTCACCAGACCTCTTAACCTAAAGAGCGGCCCTGGTGCTCTTGTGAGTGGGGCTGCAATCGACAACTCTGACATGCATATCAGCAACAACACAACTACAAGCTCTTCCCAGGGTCCTCATGGTGACATTTCACAAGGTGCTGTACAGACACGCTCACTGATCAACCACGCTGCTCAGCCCAATAAGGTCGACATGGGCCACAGGCCTTTCCTGCAACCTAATAGGTTTGGACCCTCACAGTCATCATCTAATCCCTTTGGTATTGGGCCCTCCACGTTCCTTCCCATAAACCGGCCTACTTGTTCTGGTCGGGAGCCTTTGACCGGTGCAAGTACCAGCGGTTCGCAAGATGATTTTCTCTCTCGTTTCTCTAGCTCTGCGTCCCGCTCATGCAATGGTCTCCAACGTGCTCCCTCAGGTCCAATCTTCCCTTCAACCAGCGCTTCTTTTATCGGCCCTCTCGTCAATCCTTTCCTTAGTAAACGACCAATAATGAACGGCTCGCAACCTGAGCTTCCTTCTGGGAGGATTGAGCCTTCCTTGACAGGCAGGAATCAAACGTTTCCTAGCATGCCTCCTTCACAGGCCTGCACCCGCGTGATGCGCTCTGCGTCCATCCCTTCTAATCCTTTGCATCCCGTGCCTTGGGTTCGAATGTTCAGAGAAAACGACCCTGTCCCTTCCAGCGCTTTCTCTAATCCCATGGGCGCTGCGGCTGGAGCATCAATTCCCTTGCCTCCATCGGTCACCACTCAGTGCGCAAGTGCAAGTGTGTTTCCCTTTAGCGGTAGCACGCGGCCTTATGTTTCATCTAGTCTTATGTCCATGAATATGCAAGGCTCATCTTCCATTGCAAACCCGACGGCTGCTGGTGTTGCAGGTCCTTCTAATAATAACTCGGCACAAAATGATCTACGTCGTGATGTCTCTGGCCCACCAACGGCTGCCGGCACCAGCACAAATAATTCTAGCCGAACTTCGTTAGCATCTGCTCGAGGTGCTAACGATGTCATGGTTCTAGGAGAGGATGATGACATGAATGTTGTCAACATTTCAACGCCAGCGGAAGAAGAAGATGATGAACCTGAGTCTGAGGAAGCCAGTACAGAACCTTCTTCCCCTGACGATACTGAGCGAAGCTCCCGCAGTGACAAGCCAACATCTGCCGCTCCTCCTGCTCCTGCAAAGTCCAAAGCTTCGTCGTCTTCAGGGAATGACTTTGAGATATCATGTCCAATATGCTGCGATACTTTGATGGACATTAAGGAACGTCGTGGGCACCTCGTGTCGACCGTTTGTGGTCACCTCTTCTGTGAGGTGTGTCTGGACGCGGCCGTTCGCCGCACCAAGCAATGTCCTACTTGTCGGCGTCGTCTCACCAAACGCCAATTCCATAAACTTTTCATTTAATCAGTCATTTGAATCCTATCGAAACCAGTCATTAATGGTGGAACTTGTTGTCAATCCTGATATACAAAAGCAAGTGAAGAGGATGGAATTCCGACTCATCCGTTCTACCATGCCCTCACTTAATTGGCATTTCATTCGATAATAGATCGATTTAACATCAAGTTTGACGAAATTACGTCTGTGTCTTCAGATTTTCAACGTGTGGTGCGTGTGATATTACCTTCTGATGTGCACTGTACACGGTTTGAATGATTGTCTTGAATTAACCGCTTGGGTTCTTGTGTTAATCTCATCACTTTCCATCCATGATTAATTTATTTGCCGAGTCAAGTATTGTATTCATATCAAATGATTGTATTTTAGTATTGAACTAAAATGCTAATGCTCATTTTATCGATAAAAAAATGGTGATTGTGTAGAGCCAGGAGCTCCGAAATTGTTCATACTCGCAAACAATAATGTTGATTTATAATTGTTTATTTTCTACAAATTCCATACTGATTTCTTTAAGTTTAGCTTTCCTTCAGATGGCCTTCACTTCTTGCGTCAATTTACGCTTGTGTTTAGCTGCCAGAGTTGGTTTCATAACACAAATTTCATGTCTTGTAAGTTGTTTATTCTTCTGGGTACGAGGTGACAAGGTTTCTTGTATACGTGGATTTCACCCCAGACTATGATGTTAGTCTTGGCCAAGTTTACAGTTAAAACTACGGCACATAGGAATTATGTCATACAAGTTTATGGAAAGATTTTTATATTTCAAAAGGTCATCAAGTTTTATGTATTATCTTCTTCAAATTTTTTGTTTAGCTCAGTGTTGATATAGTAGTATAGTTTAGGTACGATTGTAAAAACGTTTCTATCAGTGCTCGATTTTTTGTGTGCTTTTTCGAATGTTTTTTGTTACCGACCTATGTTACATCTAAGTTCTTTACTTTTTCTTCAATGATATTCAATCTAATTATATTATTATATGCTTAGAGGAAATGTAACAATTTATATTCTGAACGATATTTATGATCGAACCTTTTCTTATTCAAAGTGTTCAGGAATATTAAGAGTGAGATGCAACCCAGCCTCACTACGTGCCTGCTTCCAACCACAGTCTAATTACATTAAAAATAAATACTTGTGATGGAAATTTCATCTTCAAGTTGACAATTTGCGAACCATTTATTTTTTGTGAAGTTTAAACTGTATAGGCTTTTCCCATATTATTTTGTATAACTATTATGTTTTTTTTTCGTGAATGTGTACCTATAGCGTGACCAGGGCAGCTAAGGTGAGACTTCTGTAAGCCTCATGCATTATCTTAATCTTGAATAAACTCTTGTACATCCACGATGAGAAATATCTTGCTGGTACCTACCCATCACTGTCAGCTGCTGACAACTGCGTACCGACAACTGCAGGCACTGACAGCTGCCCATTTATATCTTATGTATATGTAAACTATCACTGGTTATTATTTCCCGCTATTGGAAAATGCAAGTCTCTTCTTTCGTCATCATGTACGGTTTTTTCTTGTTTGTTATTGCGGTTATTATTCATGATATTCATTATTGACTCGATTGTCAACCGTTGTTAACGCTGAACAAAATGGCTTAAAAGTTTTTTTTCTAATAATTGAGGATGCTAATAATTATAATAACTAAGTGGAGCTGTAACATTACGATCATTCTGGCTTGAGATGAAGTATTACTGCACTGTGAAGTTACCAATATAATAACAAGAATATTTCCGACCCTAATATTGTAATGTTTTTTTAGGCGATATATGTATTCAATTCGTCAACTAAGAAAACGTCGGGACAAATTTATTCGCCCATATTTGTGATTAACTGATCTGTTGTCGGCATAGGTATATGATAGGATTATATTAATTTAAATGTTGAAAATCTGTTAACATCTACACATTTGTTGTTAGCAGTTTAGTCAGCTGTCTTGAGGATGCCAGGTTATGATAAACGGTTTGATTTCTCTCTATTTGGTTTACGGAGATGATGTGATCATTCATGTCTGGATTATAGTTTTGTTCTAGTAAAATATGTTTGTTAATAAATAATGTTTTTGGTTTTCCAATTTTCTGAACCAAAAGATCAAGCGGCTTGTGAAATTCGTTTGCTTTGTACGTGAACGATTCTTGTGTTGGTCATTTGATGTATACTATTGTTATCATTTATATCATTACGATTCATGTATATCGTCTTTATGAGCTCCGTATCATTTATATCATCATGAGTTCTGTCATTTATATCATCATAAGTTCTGTCATTTATATTTCATTTATATTTGCTTACACTTTAAAAGGATAATGAAACCAGTTTTTTTCTTAATTTTGCTTGATAGTAAAAGCGATTGGCCAAAATTTCGAGAGTATCCAGTAGTAATAAACTTGATCAATATTTCAAAATGGTGCGTTTTCCTCAAGTTATTAGGAAAAATGGAAAAGGTTTTCAAATGACAGCATTAGATAATTCTCCTGAAATTAATGCCACATCTGACAAGGGATACATTTTGTACAACTGTGAACGTATTGATGAATAATTTCAAGTTATTAAAGTAAGTAATTGGTTGGAACGTAATTTCCAGTGCACTATTCAACTTCACAATCATGTTCGGTATGTTCCGACATAGGCTTGTCTAAGCTGTAAATATATGTACATAAGTTTAATAATACTACTGCGTGGAGCTTTGAAAATATCTTGTGAACTTTTTTGCGTGAACGAATGACTTCATTTTCGTTCCAGCATCGCCGAAGAGAAACCGAGAATTTTTATTAAGGGTCTGCTTCTTATGTTATGTTATTACTGCTGACTTATTCCTACATTCACTAGGCTTATATGGCTTAAATATAAGAACTCTTGTCAATACTCCATAATTCGGTTTAACTCTTAAAAAGATCCTGCAGATGTACGCTTCAAAGGTATATATGTTGTATGGCACCATAAGTTTATTATTATTGTTATTATTTTGATTTCAATCGGGTGGCTTTCGATGAACATCCAGAGAAACGAGCGAGATTATTTGCGAATTTGTATGCACTTCTTGTCCCAGTGTGGGTCACCCTGACCCAGATAGGCCAGACAACAGGGCGTATTGGTCCGCTCTCAGCTCAAGTTGTGGTTAAGAAATTTTCACTATTCCGACAATATGACCCTTTATTTTTTTTATTCACTCTCCGTTTTGGTCACATGATGCTTCATCACATCAATAAACATCAGCCGGGATCTTATCGGATTAGTAAACAGATTTGAACTATCGGGATAATTTTCCAAGGTTTGTGTTGGAGACTTAAGATTTAGACGCATTCCTGTGCAAGGCGAAACTCCTATCTTAAAAGATGTCTTTTTTCAAAGAGAGCTTAAAGGCATTCTCGTGCGAGATCTTTAAGGCACGTCACGTATACTTAGTTGTATACGTGAAGTATATATAACTCACGTATACTCAGTTTGACGTAGCTAGTGATAACTTGTTTTTCATCATAAGTTTCCAGGCAGCCTTCCTCTTTTGCTTTACTCTAGTGATAAGATTTAAGCATAAGCTACGAGTGGAATATTAGCCTACCAAATGATTTATCGCTCACTCGAGCAGAAGTTTCACACCTGCAGCTTATATCAATTATTCTAAAGCTTTGTATAAATGTTGATATTATTGATAGTACCTATCCTAGGAGTTGTCAGTGTCGTAGAAATTACTTGTGCGTGACCCAACCGACTGTCAGCGTGAGCAACGGCCCTCCCACACCAATGTCTCGCATATCCTGTGAAGTAAAGTATCTTGTCTCATTACATTCAGCTAGCCTGCTATCCCTCACTGATGTCTCACGTCTCCTGTTTTGTATATACTAGTCTCTTGTCTCATTACATTCCGTTAGCCTGCTATCCCTCACTGATGTCTCATGTCTCCTGTTTTGTATATAGGCTCTCGTCTCATTGCTTAAACAAAGTATAACACACCAGATCACACCATGTTGTTATGCTGCATCTGACGATAAATCTCGGACCTTTTGAGATAATATTTTATTACATCCATGTTTGCCGGATGCAAATGAGCAATCTAGCGTGGTAGTTAATCGTCAGGCTATCACTACAATAGGCCATTATTTTGGTTTAAGAATAAATACCAAGCTGTAACTTCGCTGGGCTGATCGCCTGCGTAGTATACCGATTTGTTGAAATTTAAATCAGAACCTGGGTTTGTGACTGCATCGTTGTTGCAACTTTCACCTGTAATTTATTGTGAATTTAACGCCAATTTGTGACAAACGCGCTTTGCTTTTCGGTCGGATTCTATTCTAATTCATCTCTATGTATGATACGTTTCCTGCGAATGATGTTTCTGTTATACGATATGGGTTGCCCGTATAGCTCTTCCAGCACTTACCATTGCCGCTCGTCAGAATTCTGTTGGCATTTTACATTCCTATGGACATTGTTCCAGAGTGCCTAGTGCGTGATTTCCGAGCTTTTAAGACAGCAGACCTGTAAGAAGAGTTAAGATGTTATGTTAATGTAGGCAGGATTATTTACTTTTCACTACTTATTCTTCCGAGCAAACGGATGAAGAGTAAGCGACCCTCTGTACCGCCGATGTTGTTTCTGTTGCCGTTTAACTATAGATGCTACGTTAATTTGCTACGCCACTTGCAAACATTGCCCTTCTTCTCGTCATCTTCTGCACGCTGATTATTGGAAATCTTCTGCTAGTTATCAGGACGGATTGATGTTTGATTTGGTCAATGAGCGACGATTGAAACCTTCCGTATTTTTCGGAATAATGTCGTAGATCCTGTGTTAGTCAATACTGTAATATACTCATAGATAATGTTGTAATCTTATTAACCTGATTTACTTATTATTATTATGATAGGAAATTTGACGTTTCACATTTATCTGTTAGCACATTAATTAGGGGTAGTAGTATAGAGATGAGAGGAGCTAGACGTGTGCTCAAGCTTTGGCACATTAATTAGTGGTAGTGGCATCGAGATGAGAGGAGCTCGAGCCTCGGGAAGCTCAGTAAGACAAATAGCGAGGTCAGGAGCAAATACTTCTGTTTCATCATTCTTACTTAATCAGAGACTTGCTAAGTTATGGTACCACCTTGTGGATGAGATATTTTCGGTGCACTGATTACTTCAGCTGACAAAGAATTGTCTGCTGAAACGTGAGAGAATGTTGCTGTTCATGGCGCAGAGATAAGAAAGACTAATGGCAAATGTCCTTATTTCATGAGAGATGTCTCTTAATTTTTGTACAAGCTTATTTTATTTACTAGTCGATATATCAATTTGAAGTTGTATTGCCATTAGTGTAGAAATTTGATATCTCGATATGCAAGTTCATTGGCACTGCGTTAGCGAGCGGAATGCGCGTCTCAATAACTTCAGGATGAACATCTCAAGCGTAACGCTTTAAAGATTTTTAGTGTTCTCTTCTGCAATTAATATCGGAACGCTGCCTGATGGTCACTATCCGGTTCTGGAGAAGTCTTAGGTTGCAAGCTTGCCCATGCCAGGTTTGCTTGGAAGACATGGATGTACAATTTGTACATGGTAGTCACAGTAGTGCAGTTGTTAGCACCACTCAGCGCAGTGATGGCGGCACCGAGATGAGTGGAGTCAGCCGTGGGTTTGAGTCGGGATGCTCAGTTAATTTGCTCGGTGTATCGGGTGAAAAGTGTTCGGTCAAAAAGTTGTGCTTCCAGCATGGCATGGGTTTGGAGTTTCAAAGCGAATACATGTGGTATTTGTCACCTTGTGAGGTATCTTGAGGTCTAAATAGAGAAATTTCCAAGCCATAATATACTTTCTCAAGGGCAGGGTGGCCCAGTGGTTAAAGTTCAGAGTACCAAGATTGGCGCAGAGATGCGCGGGATCGATCCCAGCTCTGTGCGCCAGTTTCTGGTCAGAATCGGCAAGGAGGCCGGGCGGTTAAGCACAGCAGAATTGTAGCAGTGAGTTGCGAGTTCGAGACCGCAAAATGCTGCGAATGTTCTGCGATGTTAAGAATCGGCAACAGGCCTACGGCTTAATAAACGCTGAAACCCCTATTATTTTGATTATGTCACCTAAAATAAAGGGGTTGTTGCTTGACTTGCGTTCCATTTCCCCCAAATAGTCTTAATATTTATTATCTTTAGTCCAGAACTGACTTTAAATTGCATTCCCTCTGTTCGTTCTCATTAACATGCGTGGGTGATTAATATTTGCATATATTAATGGAGAATACCCACTGGAGAACCGCAGTTTATAGGGAACAGGTTAGTAGTTATTCATAGCGTTGCTGGCCACGTCAAGATTTTCTTTTCAGTTCGTGGTAAATGTAATCCTCAACTTGAAAAAAATCGTATGAACGGTCGCTTTGTTATAACGAGTAATATAATCGTGAAATATCAATATTAGGTTAAGATTAATATAAACTTCTGAATTCCTAATTTATCATTGGACTAGCACGAAATGCACATGCAGAGGATGACAGCATTTAATTAGTTACATCATAACATTCAATGTTGCCTTCAAATGAATAGAGTATTGTCTTATTTTTGTTCTTGTTGTTGTACTAATTTTGCTATTTGGTACGAATCGCATGTGGCATCAAGTATTGAAGTCAGTTCCTCTTCGTTTAGGAGAAGAAAGGGTTTCTAAATTTGTGCCTGGGATTCATTCATCAACTCAATTATTATACAAAAGACAGGTAAGATACAATTACTAAGCTATATCATTTTATGGCATATTTTAAAAACTGTAGGAGTAAAAAATTGGTCTGTTTTTCCTGTTTCTATTTTCGTTGAATCAACTCGAACTGTTCGAAAGAGTGAACTGTGAATCGAACTTCTGGAAGAAATTGACCTATAATATATAGTGTCAAGTTGTCAACAGTTCTACTACTTATATAGCTAGCCTACATGGTATGATGGGAGCTAACGCCAAGTAACGGTAAACTGATCTTCATTTTAGTAAGTATCAATGAAATTTACCTTAAGGGTTTAAAGATTGTTTCACGTTTCCTTTGAGCTTTGACAAATATACAAGCCTAGTTCCCCACTGTGAATTTCTATTTCTGGAATGAAGTTAACTGACAGTTTTTTGTTGCTTTCCCTTTTTGTAAAGTATTTCTTTCAACTATCTATGTTGTTATCAAAAGTTCAAAACTGACCCACAAGTCACAACATTTTGCACTAGGTATCAAAAATGCTTTTTTGTTAATACTTATAGTATACCTATAAGGCTATATGGCAAATTAGGAGTCATAGCTCATAGTAATGAGTCATAGCCTACCATACAATTTACAAATCTTAATTCTGATTCTTGAATTCAGATCAGTATTAATATATGGTTTTTATTGGACAAGCAGTGAGAATTGGTTCAGGTTCACAGTTCAATTTCCTTGTTTACTCCAGATTTAAAATGAAATCTTGTGTATGATAATGCTGGTATGAACAATACATTGCTGGACTACTTATAGCCTATGAGTTATGACTATGAGGATATGACTCTATATTGTTATTGAACTTGATGTAGAGTCTACAAAACTCTGCTCTGCCCCTCTATGCAATGGCCACAGGCCAATGAGTGCTGAGTAGAGTGCAGAAGCTGCTGAGTGCTGACTAACAATTTATGGGTCATTGACATGCTTACCTTAGTAACCTTACATCATTGTCACTTCTATTAAGTTATTAAAAAGATAATAATTTAGAAGAAACCTGTGATGCACTGATGCTGTGAATGAACCCATGTGCATGTGCATCTGGATCATTTCTAGATATGTATAAATATTTTTATTTTCAAAATTAATAATAACATTGAAATTCATTCCAATTAAAAATAAAAATATCACCATTGATATATCTTAATCATCATATAAATATCAATGAAATATGAAATAACAACTGCATTGCCATTGTGCATATGTGGAAAATTTGGAAGATGCTGCCCACGAATTTGACAAAAATGCCCATTAATCTGGCCAATTTCCCATGTTCCTATGGCCTTTCCCCTATTTCTAAAATTTCAGTAAAAAATATAACCTCAGCCTATTTTTGCATGCCATTTTCAAAAATTAACTGTGAAACTATCACTTTCACCAGCAATTTTAGGAAACTTCTGCCCAATATTCCAAATAGGAATTCCAATTGTAAGGAGTTCCAATTGTAAATATAAAATAAATACCATACATTCTTGAAAACTAGCTGTCCTAACATAACTTGCTAGAATTAGTTTCCATAAACTCACTCTGTTTAATAAATATTATACAAAGAGAAACACTGGAGATAATTAATTAATTTGATGCACATGCCACAAGCAAAAAAAGTAAACAAATCTAAATATGACCAAAAAGTTATGGCATGATTGTCAAGGATTCTATTATATATAATAGTGGCTCTAAGCCTCTGCTGCACTGTTCACAGGCATTGGATTGGAGGTTTTGAAATGCTTGGGTAATTGAAAAATGGCTATTGTGATGATTAGGATATATATAATACCAAATGTGTAATATAAACTTGACAGACAAGCAGGAAATATGCATGGTATCTATATATTCATGATGATGAAGTGTAACTTTTTACTATGGTATCTATTGAGCTGTTGCTTTGAGCCATTATGGAATTTCTTTGCTGTCCAGACCTAAGCCAAAGTCTGCCCTTTGTTTACTTCTGCTTTAGGAGATGAGATATTTGTTGATGCTTCATGTTGATCTCTGCCAATACTCAAAAGTTGAAATACATGATATTAGGTAATTAAATGTTAATGAAGTGGTTGACTCTTGTGAATAAAAGTAACACTGAGTGAAGTAATTAATTCCATCAGGCATAATGAAATTTACATCATTCTTAATTTCACTTGAGCTGAGTTTAATGATAATTTTTCCTGTTAGTGAGTGTTAAATATATTATTGCTTCCTAATAACAAAGTGCACTAGTATATAAATGACATAGCAATCATTGGGTCAATGTTTTTTTATTTCTGTCTTGGGCTATGCTCAGCATCCTTTTTGTATTATTTTACATGCTTAGCATCTTTTTAGCACATTTTTTCATTTATGGAAAAAAGGTGCTGTTGTGCTCATCATGTCTGTCCGTCTGTCTGTCTGTCCACGACTTTGCGTTTTTGTTGATGAGAAAATGCGCGCTCTGTCACTCACTGCAGTGAGTACTGAGTTATATTTTTTCTTTTTGGTTCAGTTTGCTCACAAATTCTTGGGACTGCAAACCCTGATCTGCTGGTGCAGGGGTGCACAAGAGACAGCCAGGGTCCCACCCTTGTAGCATCATAAGTCATCCCGCATCCTTCTCAGCGACTGAGGATCTCAAGTCAAGGTAAGGGCTCATCTACAGCTGACAAAATAAGACAAATATTCAGGTTTATAGTAAATAACAGACAAATATTCAGGTTCTTAGTAAATAACAGACAAATGTTCAGGTTTATAGTAAATAACAGACAAATATTCAGGTTTATAGTAAATAACAGACAAATATTCATGTTTATAGTAAATAACAGACAAATATTCAGGTTTATAGTAAATAACACAAATATTCAGGTTTATAGTAAATAACTGACAAATATTCAGGTTTATAGTAAATAACTGACAAATATTCAAGTTTATTTCGAGCTGCTGTATCATCTCATTTATATTTGTACATGATTTTGGATATTACATAGTTTAACTGTTGGCATTGTCCCATATAATTTTGATGCTTATTTGATGTCTATGTCATGCCAAAATTGCTGAATTGTAGATTCTTTGGAATCGGCAGCTAGTTGACTGAATCTGTAGAAACTGCATTTTGTTGCCGATTCAGGAAATCGGATGTTAGAGTTAGAACATAAATCAACAGTTAGAGTTAAAAAAGGTAAGGTTTCTGCTTATTTAAATATTAAAAAAAAACTTGGCTAACTGACTTAACCCCAGATTCCTCTGGTATAGAAATGTTGATTCTACAGATTCAGCAAACAGGCTGCCGATTCCATAGAATGGGCAATTCCGCGATTTTGGCACGACATGTACATGATTCATGTTGTTGGTGTGTGCCTGTTAAGAACTGGTGAAGCTGCACTTGTGTTGTGGCTACACAGCTTGTGAAGGACAAACAATCGCTTGCATCTTGAGTTTTTGTTTACAAATACATTAACCTTCAGCAATACTGATTCGTTGCCTTCAGTGGACAAAATGTTATCATCTTGTTTATGAATATATTAATCGTTGCTATTGCTATTGGTACCTATAAATCTGGTAGCTAGAATAACTAGCAACTAACCGAGGTGTGTTATAGTTAAATCGTATCGCAGTAACTCGCAATTTTATTGGGGTTATTCCTAGCTAGCATAACGCAACGACTTATTTAGCCTGGTTTCTTAGTTCCAATGTGCTTTGTGAAAATTGCACCACTAGACGTGGTTGTTGCTCGAACCTGAAAGAAATTCCGCGTTGTTATTTTTTTTACGTGTTGGTTCACTATCATTTTCGCTAAGCGTATATATAAAAACGTTGTGTTTTTAGCGGATTTTCTCATTTATTGAAAAAATGCCCTATTGTGCTCGTCATGTCCGTCTGTCTGTTCGTGACTTCACGTTTTCGTCGACGAGAAAATGCGCACTCTGTCACTCACTGCAGTGAGTACTGAGTTATATTTTTATATCAAGACTTGAACAGACGAGTTGCGAAGAGCGTTCGCTCATGCATGTATATTTTGATTAAGGCGCGATTCATCTTTCAATCGTTCATTGATTCCAATCGTTCATTGATTCCTGATGTCATGCATTTAACCTGTGGTTTAAAGTGACGTCAACAGAATGGCAGTATATAGATTGCACCACAACACTAATGTGGTGTAAGCACGTGTCATGTGTATCGTAAGGAGGGGAGGGAGGGCCAAGCAGGGGATGTGGAAGGGGAGAGGGCTGTCGAGTCATTGGCACGCCAGCTGCTCAGTGTTCGGGTGACCTTGGTGGTGGATGGTGCTCGCGTGTCCAGCTGAAGTTTTCCTTGTTTACCTGTCCCTGTTTGTATAATAAAACATCTCGCATGCAAGTTCTTCATCACGATGTGTTTAGATTGTGGTGTGAGTGATGAGAGCTGCTGTGTAGCGCTGTAAACCAAAATCAGTGCTCGATTATGAACAAAGGAACTGTGGTATACAAACGTTAGTTCGGTCACTGCAAGCTTCCTAGTTCTTGTCACCAACATTTCTCCCATGTGCACCACGGAAAGTCTTCTCCTTGATAAAAATAACTGCTTCGTTCGGGGACTTCTGACGCAGAATTTATCGGCATTTATTTATATGGTGAAATTTAGTAGTTGGAATCATGCGGGAAGTAAATGTGTTCTTTATTTTTTTCATGCTTTAGCAATACTTTTTAGGTTCTCAGTGAGGTGAAACAATAATCAGTCTATGTACGTTTTTTTTTTAAAGTCAACATGCAGTGCAGTTCAAGTGTAACTTGCCTTCTCATCGCTGTTAGTGTGCATTGTAGTTCAACTGTAACTAGCCTTCCCTTCTCAGCGCGGTTAGCGTGCATTACAGTTCAACTGTAACTTGCACCCTCAGCGCTGGCTGTAACTGATCGATGGCGTCTTCTCGATCGCGTTCTCGAAATTTCTGCCCACTGCTTGTATTGCACCATGAAATTTATTGGTCATTGATGCGACTGATGAGTGCAGTGTGGTGACTGCGTCACCCAGATGATGAATGCAGTGTGGTGACTACATCACCCAGACGATGAGTGCAGTGTGGTGACTACATCACCCAGATCATCACCCAGACGATGAGTGCAGTGTGGTGACTGCATCACCCAGACGATGAGTGCAGTGTGGTGACTACATCACCCAGATCCAAATTAATTTGGTGCAGTTATTCATTAATTATCAAATTCAGAAGCGACTATACCCACACACTTGGAATAATGACGTCCTCTATGCAGCTGTACAATTATATAGTTAATGGTGACCCAATTTCATTATTGGCTAATTGACTAATTCAGAAACAACTATATCAACATGCATTAAACAATTGTGTTTATACAGCCCCTTAATAATATAATTGTGTTTATACAGCCCCTTAATAATAATTGTGTTTATACAGCCCCTGCGAAAGTGTTGAATTAGCATATTTCTCGAGTTTATGGAGAAACAAATTTTATGTGACAGTTATGGGCTAATAAGTAATTCAGAAACGACTTAAACCCACGTATCTGAAATTATTGCACCTATGCATTTGTTAAATTAACATTTTTCTAGAGTTTGTCTAAGACCTAACATAATTTGTGACAGTTATCGGTTAATTACCTAATTTAGAAACTGCTATTTTACTATTTGATATTTTTTTATTATTTAGAAGGACGCACTCTAGAAGCGTACGGACGTAGGCTAAAAGAAACGTACGGACGTAGGCTAAAAGAAACGTACGGACGTAGGCTAAAAGAAACGTACGGACGTAGGCTAAAAGAAACGTACGGACGTAGGCTAAAAAAAACGTACGGACGCACGCTGAAAGAAACGTACGGACGCACGCAAGACACTGGCGTAGGGACCCCCGTGACGCTGGGCGTCGCCAGCAACGCTAATGAGCCTTCTTGCTGCTCCGTTACGCTCCAGATTGACGTGATCCTTGCGTCTTTTGTGCGCCGCGTATTGCACCGTCTGTACCGTTGCGTCCTGAGCGTTGCACCGTCTGTACCGTCTTTCCTGCGCCGCTATTGCACCGTCTGTAGCGTCTTTCCTGCGCCACGTATTGTACCGTCTGTACCGTCTTTCCTGCGCCACGTATTGCACCGTCTGTACCGTCTTTCCTGCGCCACGTATTGCACCGTCTGTACCGTCTTTCCTGCGCCGCGTATTGCACCGTCTGTACCG